GTTGGTTGGCGACTTTTATTATTTTCGCCGATCGAAACTTTTTTCGATTTTTCCCCCGTTTCAATATCGACTGCATATTAATTCTTAAAACCCATAATTCTTGAATTAAGACCATTTTTACCTGATGAATCGTGATTGAATATTTAATGACTCGAATTTTTTTCCAAAAAGTATTTCTGTGCCTCCCTGTCTTATGGGACCATTCCAAATTACATGGCGCAACTCCACCGCATTTGAATCTTCAATGATTCTAACATCTGCATTTTCGCATAAAACTGCAGATATATAACTTTACCAAAATTGTTATGCGTTGTGTTTCTCTAGAGAGCATCGTAAATTCGAGACGGGATCTTTGGTTCTCCAAGAAGCTTTGAATAAAAGAAATTTCTAGTTTAAGTGGGGTTTTCACATTAATCATTATTTAATTCCCGAATTATTACAAGACGATAGGGATAAATTTGTAGTTCTAATTTGATTTTATTAAAATGCGCAAGCCATGTTTTTTACCTCAGCTTCAGGAAACCTGAAAACATTGAAAAACAAAAAAGACGCGCGAGATCGTGTTCTATGTAAAATTTTATAGAAATAGTATTTTATTTCCGGGTTATGTCATACCTCACCTAGTATGGCATGTGAGATTAATCCACCTCGTATGCGGAGGTTATAGTTTAATGTTAATCTTAAGAATTTCATTCTTCGGTATACTTAATTGAAGTCACTAGAATGTCAAGGACGTTTTTCTACATTATGTGAAGTATTCTGAGAGATTCTAAATGTAGAGATACGACAAAAGATAGCTGTTTGAGACCGCAAGATTTCGATGTGATTAAGTCGATAATTACGCCAGAGAAATTAAGAACTTTATTTAAACTTTGTTAACTCCTGGTTTGATGGCAATAAATGTAAAAAAGATTGATATCTGCACAAATATTGAAACTGACAGCGAAATTGAGTGCTGAAATGCGGATTTCTGCGATAACATCATAATCAAGAAGATGTCGTACAATATAATTGGACACGTAATAAGATGTGTCGGACGTTGTAATGAGATTTATTATCCCTAGAACTGACCACCGAAATATGGCACAGAGAATGGGAACAAATAGCATAAAGTGACAAAACGATATGGAAGATTTACACTAGAACTTTATTATTCCAACTGAAAAGAAGATGATTAAGGCTAATAAAGACAATAATGTCCTTATGCTGGGTCAATGCATGAACATCGTCCGCTCATTTATTAACACATGATAAATGGTGCTTTAAGAGTGAATAGACGTCCTCTTGAACTAGTTTTCCATGTTTGGAGTGTTTAACAAGAGGTTACATCGCGGTGTATTTGATGAGGGAAATGTAATAATCTGTTGCGTACATTATGTGGTTAGTGCTTCGGAAGTATGGCGGTGGCGCCGGGAATCTGATTCTAACAGTGAAAAATACACCAAATTTCAAAGATTTAGAAATTGTTTGTTGACTGAAGGATTTTTTATTTGTTTGATTTGGTTCAATTAGATTAATCAATCGTAAGCTCCAATATCACAGGTCTAAGCTAAAATTAGAAACAGTTTCTATAAAGGCGAAAGGCATGTAACTTGGAAATAATTTAATTAATTTTGGGAAGAAACCGCACGAATTACAATTTCCTTTCATGCAAAGCTTCAGGGTACTCGCCAGTTTTGTGTGTATAGGTATCGATTTTAGCACCTCGACCGCATCCGCTCTCGACTAAATTGCTTGTTAGTGGTTTAACGTTAAAAATAATCAAATTTGCACTATTTGAACATTCAACTTTTGACAATTTAAATTTACTTCTCTTAATTAATAAATTATTTATTAATTTTCCTTTTTTTAATCACAACATTATTTACGATATTATGCATTTTGTTATTGTCGGATTTCCAAAAACAGAATTATAATATTTGCTACACTTAGAGGAGCATATTTTAATAAATAAACTATGAATTATGAAAATTAGTTTACTGACTCTAAACTAATACCTTTTTAGACTTTGTGTACTATATAGTATGAAAATTCAGGTTGAATTAAATTAAATTCTACGAGGGCAAAACGAAATAATATAAATAAATAAACAGAGCATGAAATGTAACTGTCCACTAATATTCATGCTCTTATAATCCCAGATACAATATTGTGTAAAATACGAATATTTATCAAAATTGTGGCATAAATTAATTTGGATTACATAATAATTTTAAACCAACCCACATAACATATTAATCAATCCGTAAATTTTTGTTATCATATTTTAATTTTGTGGGATGTTTCTGTTTATTTTCAGCGCAGCGTTGAACCGTGATGAAACCCGTGAAGGAATTCAGAAAAATTGTGGCAGCGCAGCAAAGTTAATTGCCAAGAAAATTAACGGTTCGTATATACTGAGTGGGTGAACGTTTTTCTTTATTTGTTTGTACTTTTTGTTCGTGAAGGGCAATTACACCACGACGATTGTGGACACACTCGCACCCCTCCGTGAAAAGTTCAATTAAATTTTGAAATGGAATCCACACCAAAAACGAAGCTTCCTCCTTTCAAGTATTTTCTGTTATATGTCACCAACATAATAAAATTTTTCATTTAATTATAAATGAAATATTTATTGAAAATGGAATTTTTAAAAAAACATTCTTTTCCTAGAGTTACATATGTGATATATATGATAAGCACTAAACATGTATGAGCAAAAATGATTGATCTAGGGAAAATAAGGAGAAGGAAGGCAGGCAAGGAAGAAAGTGTTTCGAAACCCGGATGTGCTGTGGAATCCAATCGTGGAATGGGAGGTGTAAATAAATAATAGCTTATGTTCTATGTTCTAAGTTACCTAATTCCGCAAAGCAATCAAATGTAAATTTTGTCTTTTGCTAATTCCTTGACATACAGCAGATTATCACTAAGTGAGTTACCAAGTCAATTGCAGGAAAAACATTGGCACGTTTTATTAGTATTACATTTTCCAAAATGGTTTGAAATGTATCATACTTTACGGAATTGTTAATTTATTATTTTATAATGTTTCTTAATTACTGTACATTAACATTATATATCAGCCTGATTAAACATTTACATGTATAGCAATGTAAGCCATAAAAAGCATGAATCCCCTCATGCAACTCTAGTAAAGGAAGGAAATCTTCCACTTTTAAGACATTGTGACTGTATTTATGTCACTGTCTGAAATACAGTCATAATGTATAGAATGATACAGATGAGACAATAAACAACATTATAAAGTTTTTCTATTAATGCTATCTGAGTTCTGTAAATGTACACTGGTCGAGAAGCTGGAATCGAGTAAAACAACGCTGAAACCCAAAACATATACAAACTACGTTTGGAATACCAACTGATCACAATATCGGAAGAAAGAGCTGATGAATTCTGAACAGACATCTTCTTCTTCCATCACTACAGTCTGTGGACTTTGGGTTACTTTACAACACATTACCAAGCATCCTAACATCTTCCATCACATCATCCTTTTATAGTTTATTTGGCTTTCCTCTAGGTCACTGTCCCATATGGTATCCATTCTACAATTCTCTTCACTCCTCAGTCTCCCAGCATCTTCTCCAGATGTCCCAGCCATGCTATTCTCTGTACATTTATGCGTTGTATTATTTTGCACCATTGATGAGCTGGTCCAATTCGTAATTCATTTATATTCTCCACATTCCAGCACCATCTTGTATCAGTTCTCTCTCATAATCTATATATCAAGCAACCATTTCTGGACAAGACATCTAATCTTTCAGTGTTTCATTAACAGACGTTTCATTGATTCATCTCTATACTTTAAAAGCTTTGAAAGTCACAAGCATGGCATTTATGAAATACGTCTTCAAAATATTGAACTACGTCATCAATACAATAAGTTTTAGACATTCTCCGTGCTGTATATATTGTCCAATGAAAATTGAGTGGGCCAGTAGACATTAATTTAAGGATCATGCTATGGCAAATAACCAGCACAATTTGAAGTTCACCGCTTATGTATTTGAATTCCACATACAATTAATCCATATACAAATAAAGTATGTTCAGAAATGTGTGAATATAAAGAAAGTGAAAATAATCTTTTAATACAACGATGTGGTCTCAAATTTGCCAAAATTTTAACTTCATTTACTTATTCGCCTTGGTCTTAATCACTATCATTAAAAGTTTTATGGCAATCATTGTCATCAGAGTTTCAAACAACAAATTTTGTACCATTTCCCATACTTGTAAATAATATTAAGAACACGCAAAACATACGAGAGAAGTAACAATAGTTACAGCATCGTGCAGTAATTATAAAGTTTAATTGCACTAAATAAAGTACGAAATATTTGGGTAACGTTGTTTCAAAACTAATAGTAAGGAGTATTTTATACAGCAGATGGTGCCCTTTGCATTGGACGAAAAGCAGATACATTGAAAGCAAAAAAGATTGCGGGGAAATTCGATCGAAACTTTAGACACATTGATAAAATATCTCTATTATGAGCATGGGGGCTCTGTTATCTTGTAAGTGGCGAAAATAAAAAATTGAAACCTTCTCTACTAAACAATAAATCAATAACCGTAAAACACAAACAAACATAGAAATGCAAATTTGATCACAATTTAAAACATGTTAAAGATGTTAAAAACAGCAATGAAAAAATAAAAAAAAAGATTTTTTCCGATAACCTACAAAAAACAGTAAAAACCTCGCATTTCCACAGTTTCACGATAGTTTATCAAATCATGTATTTGCGGAATTCAACGTATCGAAACGAATTGATTCGACGTTTCAATTGTTTCGTTTGTATTCTTCTTTTTTCAGTATCAATATCCGCTTTGTGTAAATACATCATTTTGCTCATCATGCTGTGTACATTTTCAATAATACCTCATAATGTCATCACGATGGTTGAATTATTAATGCTCAGCTAAATATGTATTTATTAAAAAAAGTATCAAAAAACTAAAAAATTATAACTATTTTAGTAACTTACCCAACATTCCAATCGGAAATTGATTCGGTGGTTGTTGTGGATTCTCAATGACGCTTTGCGTCACCACCCAAACATAGTTTTCTCCGATGATGCCATAATCTTTAGCGGCCGAAAGTATCGTGATCGCTTCTTTTCGTGTGCAATACAACAACATAACCCTGGAATCGGCGTCTACTAAAGCTTTGATGTCACTTCCTTCCGAAAAGAGTACTGCGTTCAGTATTGTGAACTTGAACCGATCCTGAAATGAGAATTTTTTCTTTAGTACACCTAAAGTAATCTTAAACCATTAAGCTTTGAAGTTTCCAGGAAATTTTCTACCTTGAATCCTAAACGGATGGGATTACGTTTAAGCACAATCGATTCGATCCCTATCCGTTAAATTATAAATTGTCTTATAAAATTTTGTATATAATTTCATTTGAACTAAAATCAAATCAATTGAATTAATTAACAATAAATTTAAAATTGCCACATAATGCTATAAATGTTAACGTTGTTGGTGTGTACAACACATCGAAACCAAAATTTCTGTAGTGTAGGATAATCGTTAACAACAGTTACAACGGGATTCTCTACAATCGCTGGATGGCAGCAATGTTCGGACTCCCCGCTCTGCCACAATTTGCATACGTGGCATAAGTAATTCCGGGTAGTTATGGTGGGATGGCGCCAGTTACTGTGAAAATGGGTTAGAGGAAAATTGCGTAAGATTGTGCGCGTATCGTTTTCCAGCGGTAATTTAAACGGTTTGGGATTTTGGGATTATCCTCGCGCTTTTAGGCTAATTTACTGTTTTATGCCTTTTATCGCAAGCATAAAAATGGATTTAGAAATAATCTTGAGAAATTTATCATTTTTAGTAGACCACAACTTATATCTTATCACTTGACACTGTTAATAACAGCAATTGTAATAATAGCAGTCATAACAAAAACAATGACACAGACAACAACAAAGATAACGCCAAAATGGAAACATAAAATTTCCAATACGTTTACAATTTTGATTTATGCCTAAATCAATCTTTTGTGTAAAATTAAAACTAGGGTTTGACTGCTTTACTGTTTCAAATCAATTTCTATTTGATGGAGTTTGGCTTTCAAAGCACGACAAAAAAGCACATGGATTGAAATTTGGCGATATATTTTTAGTCAATACTTTAATATTGACATTGTAAAACCTGATCATAGAAATACGGTGTACTCTGGTTATAACGAACCCTCAAGGGACCTGAAAATTGGTGAAACCGAAGTTTGTTATAGTCGATAATTTAAAGAAAACATGAACTACATTTTTTAAAATAAAATTGGAAAAACATAAATTTATTTGAAAAATGAACTCAGAATACCGGCAACAAGTTCTTTAATATTTTTTTTGGTCTCCGCCAAAAGCTCATTCCGAAGGGAGAATTTTCCAAGCAGTTCGAAGGGGCAGCCATGGGATCTCCATTATCGCCAGTGATAGCAAATTTCTACATGGAATTACTCGAAGAAGACGATTTGAAGAAGAGCCAGTGGAAACCTAAACTATGGCTCCGATATGTGGATGACACGTTTGTGATATGGCAGCATGGTCAAAAACGGCTCCAAGAGTTCTTGGATCACTTGAACTCTCAACATCCCATGATTAAGCTTACCATGGAAACTGCCAAAAAACTACCTTTCTTAGATATGTTGGTCACCAGGACGACAAAAGGAGATATAGAACTTGGTGCATATCGGAAGAAGACCTATACCAACAGGTACTTACAGGCATCATCACATCATAATCCCCAACAGAAGAGATCCGTGATCCGTACTTTATGTCAGCGAGCATATGTGAAGGAGATAACTTGAAGAAGGAGCAACACTTTCTACAAGGCGTGCTACAGAAGAACGGATACACTTTGAGGGCCATCAAGCAGCGAAAGCAGAGGGAGGACGCGGTAAGTACAAAACCTCTTGGATTTATCTGTCTTCCCTATGTTTCAGGTGTAACGGAACTAATTGCCAGGCACCTCAAGAAAGACGACATCACAGTGCAGTACGGGACGGTCAGCAAAATCCGGAACATACTACCGATAGCCAAGGACAAACTAACTCCATTAAAAGGGGCGGGAGTCTACCGACTATCGTGTAGTTTTGGGAAGATTTACGTTGGCCAAACTGGACGTAACGTCGAGTGCCGCATCAAGGAGCATGAAAGGGATGTAAGGTTGAAGAAGATCCAGCAGTCGGCGGTTACGGAACATTGCCATGCAGGATACCGAATATACTTCGAACAAACAAAAGTGCTCGCTAGGGACAACAGATATTACCAAAGACTGACAAGAGATGCCATAGAGATCCACCGACATAGAAATAACGTCAAGAGAGAGAATGGCTGGGAGCTTAGCAGAACATGAAGATGGTGGTAAACACGAAGACCTTCACCTGCTTCACACCGGACGCAACGCAATTAGTTAATAATTAGCTTGTAATTAGCTTTAATTGATTATTAATTACTTTTCCAACTTATATGTATATTGTTCCCGATTTTCGATTTCTTCACTTCGAACCAGTTTCTGAAGAAGGTTGCAACATGGCATCCGAAACGTCAAACCTTTTCTTAAAAGACGAACGGCAAAACCGGAAAGTTTTTAATGTTAGTTGAATTAACACAGACCTTGAAAGCCTTCGTACTTATAGTTCTTTAATTTGTTTAAATTGTTGCAAATATCCTTTTAATATAGAGAAAACATATTTCTGCACATTTAGCGATTATAATATTGTATAATATCGAACTACAATAACTTTCGTAATGGAGGAAGATTCCACAATATTTTAATAATTTCTCTTTATATAGGACTTCCACAATTCTTAAATGTAAAGCTATGGAGTTTTCATAAAAAACAGGCGATGCTTTCAGGGCTCTAGCCTAAGTCCGATCTTGAGGATATGTGCGATAAACAAATACTTCGGAAGGACGAGGAAGGTGTAAGACGTGGGGATAGACCTGGTACAGACATCTTCCGGCGATCTGGTCATCTTCTTGTCCGATGTCTCTGTAAAGAAGATTGAAAGGAAGTTGGAGAAGGCCTCCTGGATAGAGCTCTGTGAGTAAAGGAATGTAAGGCGAGGAATGCCACAGGAAATCTTGAAGGATTATTTAGCGGTGTGAGAAAGGTGAGGAGTCAAATGCATAGAACGGTAAAGGGCAATGTAAGATTGGTGTCTGATATGAAAAATATATAGTGTTGTTATTGACACTTGGATATGTCAGATATGTGAGGGGCAGAAGCCGGTCTGAAGGGCACATTGACAATTATTGCATTGAAAAAGTGGGGCGTTGGTAAGAGGATGAAGAAATTGATCGTCGAGCGAGTGGTAATGCCCGCGCAGATGTACTGGCTGAACGGAAGGGAACTAAATGCGGCACAGAGATCATTTGTATTGTGAGCTACGATGGCCCATAGAACGGCGCTGACGGATGCTATGTAAATATGTCTGCGGTGGAGCCTCCGTATTTGGTAGCCGGAGCGGCGCACAGGTTAAAATTGAGGGAGAGAGTGTGGAAAATGAGATTGCCTATGCATCTCATTTTCCGTGAGTGGTGTTATTGCGAGGAGGATGGGGACGAGGGGCGAATAAGAGGGGTAGATATGAAGGATGTTGGGAGACAGCAAAATCAAAATCGAGGACACTGCCACTAGCATTCAAAAGAATATTTACGCCATCAGGTTATATGAGGACTGGGTGGAGTCAAGAGAAAGTGAAAGATGTAAGGTGTTGAATGGCAATATAAATACTATGGACTGGCTGAACATGCGTAAATGCAGAATCCGGAACCAAACAAGATAGCGAGGGTGTTTGTGACGGTAGGACAAAGGAGGACAGGATAGTGAAACTGGAATGGACGAGAAAGAAATAAGAAGAGTTAATAAGGTGGTGAGAAATGTTGTGTTGGAAAGGGAGGAGAGGATGTGAGAGAGGTATGGAAAAGGAGATGGAAGGAATCGGAAAAACGTAGAGAAGCTTATGGTCTTACTAGAGAAGGACTAGAACTTTTGACTTATCCATTTCATGCGTACTTGAAATGATTGAACTTACGGTTTTTGTCATATCATGTTGGAGTGAAGGCTAGGAGAGTTAAAAGGAGGATAGAAATAAGGAAGACAAACAGAGCGCGACATGTCTGGTTAGAACTTATTGTTGGGAAGGGAGAGGAGTAACGTTACATTATGTATATTAACCATGAAAGTTTTGAGCTTTGTTGGTCTGAGCATTTCTTGGTCTATCTTAGGTTTTCAAATTTGCAGTAAAATAGCTAACCTTGAAATTAGGTTATTTCGGATGAAATCTTTTAGTTATTCTTTTTCATCAACTTTTGCCACACTATTTTCGTCTACGAGTTATTAAAACCAGTCAAAACCTGGATTTGCTTCGGCTTGAGAATGTTAATTTCCGCACTGTTTGCGTTATGCAGAAAGATGGGTTAATTTAATGCGGAATCTAAATAGGAATTTAAAATTGGAATTTTTGGATTTCTTGCATTTTGACAATAACCGTCTCATATAACTAATTCTGGACCCCAAATTGTTGTTACATTTTTTAAGTATAGATCGTAGATATTCCATCGGCTCGTCTCCCTCTTTCACTTTACCTTGCATTAGATGGAGAATTGCAGATTTGGTCACCCCGAATATCATACCAATTTTTGTGGCCCATTCAGAAACTATCTTGATAGGTTTCTTCGTAATAACTATTTTTCTTTAGACAACATGAAATAAATAACTATTTATTTCTTTCTATTCAAAGTTATTCAACGTAATATCAATGTTAGAGTATGAAGCAAAATAGATCCATTGAAAAGTTAATTTCTTTCTCTCTTTACTCCTAAATTAATTGGGTTCTCTATTTTTTACCGGACATTCTACAATATTTGTGAGCCATTTCTAGATCAAATCGTGTATCTTTCAAAATTTGTAACATTAATTACCAGGGAGTGTAATTATAGACCTTCTTGTTATCTACCCACCCTATCGAGAACTCCTCGTATAGGTGACTGCGTCACTAAGGATTATCGCTCCTATTAATATGTTACCCCTTACTCTTGCTACACCCTTCTTCCACCCTCTCTATTCATATACATTTATCCACATAGACCCCATCGATTGCGACATTCTTTCCTGTGATGTAGTTATAAATATTTTACATGCGAGATTAAGGTACTGATTTTTGCTACAGAAAATTGTTGAAAATCCGTAAAAACTCTTATCGT